TATGTATGTATATGCATGGCACAGCAGTGAATGCCTGTAAGTACAACACCTGTTTCAGAGGCTGAAACAGGATGATTTTGAATTTGAAGCCAGCCTAGGCTATATAGCAAGTTCAAGTCCAACCTGGACTACACGGTGATATCCTGATCCCCAAATAAAAAGCAACAACAACCAGGGAAAGTAGAGAGCTCTCAGGCTAATGACAGGTGCTTGCTACAATGCTAGGAATGAAAAGAGCATTCTTTCTCTGGTGTGAAAAACTATAATAGTACATAAAAGCCTAATGAGATAATTGACAATGTGAAATAGGAAGAAAAGGGCTAAAGGTGTAGGGAAAGTGGGAAGGGTAGGGGAAAGGTAATAAGGGAAAAGAAAAAAAATAGGAGAAAAATGAAAAAATGGAAATAAAGTGTTTGTAAATGGGGAGGGGAGGGGGAGGTGAAGGAAGGCAGGGACAAGGGGAAAAAAATGAGAACCAAGACCTGTTATGTAAAGGTACAAGATCTCAGTAATGAATGTAACTGTACTGTATACCTACAATGTACTGATAAATTCAATGATGAAAAAAAAAAAAGGAAAGAGCATTCTCTGGAGAGCTTCCTGGCATTTGAAACACCATCCGGGCTTCTTTACTTGGCCTCAGTCTAAATGATGGTCTTGTGACAGTTATTAGTATAGAAGAATAAATTTAGTGGGGACACATTTTTCAGGTCTGATGCGCATATAGGATCCCATGGGGGGGAAAACAATCTGAAAAATATCAGCTGTGTATAAAATGCCAACTGTCCAGGTTCCTATTTTCTATTTCAAGCTGCTCAGGATGAAGTTATCAGTACCCAAGGAGAGAATTATCTCTTCAGCACAATTCAGGAACATGACAGGTCTGAAAGGAACCCTTGAGGTTCTGCTATGGCAGCAACTCCTTGCAGACTGCAGCAAGCACAAGCCAAGCAATGCAGTCATCCGTGGCTTCCAGGATGACATCCTGGATATTACAGCCCCAGCCATGCACCATCTGAATGCAGGTATGGAGAGAACCCTGGTAAGATCAGCAGCAGGACTGCCTAGCTAGACCCAGAAAACCCACAGGATCCTAAGAAACGGGGGTGTTTCTTAAGTCACAAAATATGCAATGGTTTGTTTGGCGGCAGTAAACAACAGATAGGTAATGCAGAAAACTCATTCCCTCTTCGCTTCCTTTACCTGGGAAGGGCTTAAGCAATAGAAGTTTCTATGGTAAGAAAGAGTTCTATCAGAGCATCCACACACACTTTATTCCCACCACTAGCACCCAAGATCCTTTTTGTTTGTTGGTTTGTTTTTTGGTACCGGGGATTGAACTTAAGTCCTTGTGCTTGCAAGGCAGGCCACCGAACCGCTGAGCTAAATCCCCAGCCCCAAGATTCTTTTTACACTGCTCCTCCCTTTACCACTACTCGTATCTGCACAAATAACGCATTCACCTAATTGAGCCAGGCAGCCCTCATATCCTTATACTGTGCATTTTCAATTATCTGTTCTACCATCAACTTGATAACTAGCTCACAGGTAGAATATAATATTTCCATATAATAATGGGAATCTTTCTGGGGAGAGAGAGGGGGGTACAGTTCTGCATACTGGCCACATACAGTACATTCTTTGTAACTGAGAGTAACGAAATTGTGACATAAGGCATTGTTCTAAAGCTTTGGCTATGTCTGCAACTTTGGCTTTAGCTCAAGATGAAATGTATCAAACACATTTGAATCTTGGGGACCTACAAACTGTAACCCTACATACTATACTGTATTCAATGGCTCTTATGGTTAGACTTCTGTAGCCAGATGTTCCCAAATGCCATTTTTATTGGGCTGCATTTTTTGCCTAGCATTCAACAGTGCCTTCCAACATCCATGGCCTAGGTAAGAGGCAGGTAGAATACATCATTATTCCACCCATTATCACATGACTTTGGCACTACTGTGCCTACTCAAAAGTAGTTATCCTAGGCCAGGGATTTAGCTCAGCAGTTCAGTGGCCTGCCTTGCAAGCGCAAGGACCCAAGTTCAATCCTCAGTACAAAAAAAAAAAAAAAAAAAAAAAAAGTAACTATCCAGGTAGCCACTTTCAGAAGGTTGCCAGGCCATCAACTGGCAACATTTGAAACAATTTCCTTCCTTCCTTCCTTCCATTCTTTCTTCCTTCCTTCCTTCTTTCTTTCTTTCTTTCTTTCATTTTGAGACATGGTCTTGATATGTATTCTACTCTAGCCTTGCACTCACTGTGTAGCCCACGCTGGCCTCGGATGCCTTCAGTTCCTGAGTGATGGGATTACAGATGAGCATCATGATGCCTAAAATTTTGAAACAGCTCTATTCTTATTGTGGGCATCTGAGTGACCTCCTATTTTCCTCCCCTGGAAATGTTACAGGGCCTGCCTCAACTGCATCTCTAGTACTTGTGTGTCCATAATGTTAACTCATTATATAAACATCAATATTCTCCTACTGCTGACCACGGGCTCTTTCCTGGGACCCTGTATGCAAAGTTGCAAACTAAGCTTTCCTTCCAGTTTTTCCTTCCATTTACACAGCTTTCAAATCAGCCCATGTTTTTTGCAGTATTTGGGTTTTTACTTTCCAGTTTGGTGCATTATAGAAGACTTTTACACTCGTGCTCCTGCTGTATAGGAGCGCTCATGGATAAACCCATAAACACTCATTCTATTTTGGTGGAGACTTGAAATTTAGACCATTCTGCCACAGATGTGGGCTGCTAATTAGTCTTATAGCAGAGAGGCTCTCTGCTCGGGTTTGTGACATGACTCCTGACAGGCACCTCTCAGGACATGACTTCTTCTGACAATTTTGTTGTACAGCTTTATCACAACTTCTTTCTGGTATCACCAATGATACGATAGGTAGTTCAGACCTTCATATAATTTGACCCTCATAAGTTATGGTGATTGTTTTTTATCTTTGTTAACAATACTACTTGTTTATATCAACAAGACTCAGTGTGATATTTCTTTTTATTTGTCGCGAGCCGCGACGTCAGGATCCTGTCAGCAGGTCCTAAACCTGAAAGGACGAGGACAGAGAGACGGGAGGCACTCTTCTTCTCATGGTACTACTGCGCTGTTTATTACAGGAACTCTCCTTTTATACTCTCCAGCTGCGGGGCTGCAAGAGAGTACCGCCCACATCCAGAAGGAAATCGCAAGTACGATAACAACTATTATGGGTTACCTTTGCTAGGCAACAGGTCAGACAACCAGTTGAACCCGCCCGTTACGGGCGACGACACGCCCACACTGCTCAGTATGGCTGTGTTCTCCATAATTCCCCCATTTTTCTTATGTCAGTGAGCCCCTGCAGAGGGCGTCAGACATATGCCAAGGAGCTCCTGTCTTAGGTGGCAGGGATGTCCTTTCTCCTTACCCGTCATCAGCAAAGAGGGCTTATGTCCCTCTTGCATGTCTTAGGTTGGTAGAAAGGATGCCCTGACCTTACCCGTCTCTGGATGCTCCACGGAGAGGGAATTATGTATGGCGGGCTTGTGCCAAATAAATGGCCACCCGGGATGCATCATCCTCTACCGAAGCCTGTACAGCCATAGCAAGTCGTCCATGATGAAACACAAAAGATTGACACATTCCTGTCATCCTGCGACACATACAACAACCACAAATACAAAGAACCATCAAAACTACAATGATCACCAATATAGGAGCAAACACCACAGAAAAACACTGTTCAGCGGCAGTACCGAAATGTTGGCCTGAGGAAAACGGGAATCTGCTCACCAAAGTCCCACAGATAAGCCTAAATCCATGGAATATTCGAGTGACCAGTCCAAAAACCCTTGAGATGTCTTATTAAATCACCAGTCCCATTAAATCCTTGTTCTGGACAATAAAGTCTCCACTTGTGCACCAAGACACATCCTGGAGTTTTCTCTGCTGCTTCAGTGTTGGGGTCCCAATCCGGTCTCCAGATTCAAGCTATTCAGGGATAGTGGCTGGTCTATAAATATACCTGTAACCATAAGTAGATGGAACAGAAAAGAAGGGAGAATACCTGGACCAAAAGGTTATTCTCATAAACAATATGCTGGAAAACCTGCATGGTTAAACAATATAAATACATTTTGTATACCAGATATGAATTCTTATGTCCTGAAATGTAGCTTTGCATCAACAGGATCTTCCCCTTTTTTTTTTTTTTTTTTTTTTTTTTTACAGAAAATAACCATCAGAAGCATATTACAATAACATATTTAGATCCGGCGGGTGCATGACCTCCCAGACTGCGCGACATCAGACCCTGCAAGGACCCAAAGACCCCGGAGGGGGTCTCTTCAGCTGCCTGCCTGCCTGAGATCGTCCGGCGGGTGCGCGACCTCCCGGACTGCGCAACATCAGACCCAGTAAGGAAGGTAGCCGCGCTGGCACCCTTGAAACACCCCCACGACCTCCCCCCCCATTGTCAAACCTCCTGATTGGGCCAGTCCTTAGATCAACTCTGCAGAGGCATAGGATCTCATGAAGGGTAGTTTTCTGAGCTCCCAACTTTGAACATCTTTAAAGAAAGGGCAGAGGAAACCTGTAATAGAACTGAGTGGAGTTCAACCCTGAGGGTAGGGAAACTCAAGTTAGGCCTTGTGGACTGTGTTCAGTCTCAGTTGTGGGGACTAGCCATTGGCTACCTGAGACCAGGGGATTCGGTTCTGCATATGGCTGTACATGTGGTATAATATGAGAACAGAGACAGTCTGAAAGAGGCTCTTCAAATTCTTTTTTTTTTCTATCTCTCTTTTCTTTTCCTCATCCCACCCTAGAATTTCTTTCTTTTTTCTGTTCTCTCTCTCCAACTCAGTCTCTTGCTCCACCATATTGTCCCTCATCTCCCTTTTTATTCCGGCTCCTGCCCTAACTCAGACTTCTTCTTTTATTATTTTTTGTTTTTAGGAGAGGTTTCTCTTTATGTTCTTTTCTCCAGTCATTTTACCTCACTAATGGCTCTGTACCTTCAAGGGAAGGCAAGTGCCTGTTATTGTTAAGGGGATATATTCTTGTCCTTATTCCTGCACTCTCTCTATTCCCCTTGAAGTTAATAGCTTTGTAAAGATAGTAAGGTAATTCTACAACCTCTGGATTCACTTCAAACCTGCTCTAATTCTTTCACTTATCTAATCCTCTCGTTCTAAGTCTAACCCCCCATCCTAAATGGTAAAGATGCTATACTGAAAAGCATATTCAGTGCAAATATACTATGGGCTGCTTTTTGAAATTAATTTACTTCACATGAGTTAAAGGTGATACATTAATGACTACCACAAGTGGTCAGTTTTCAAACTGTGCCTGATCCTATTGGGCTGCTGAATGTATCAATTGGGATAAAGGGTTGTGATTGATTTAAAGAGTTG